TACATACATACATACATACATACATACATACATACATACATACATACATACATACATACATACATATACACCAACCTACTAAAAGCAGAACCATAAAAGGAATACAAATTAAAATAAGCAAGAAAATAAGTAAGATAACACCTATCCACCCTAGACAAGTTCAAATCACCAGTATCTGACAGATTACATCCCAGAGTTCTAATAAAATGGCAGACAGGATCTCTGAAGCATTGAAGCCTGACATCAATACATGGGAAAATCCTGGAAAAGATAATCAAGCAAGAGATCTGCAAACACTTAGAAGCAAACAAAGTTATAACCAGAAGCAAACATGCCAAAGAAGTCTTACTTCATTGTTTGACAAAGTGACTTAATTAGTGGATTAGGAAATGCTGTGGACATAGTATACTTGGAATAAACATTTGACAAAGTAGACCACAACCTATTCTTTGTAAACTAGAAAAATGTGGGATAAACACCATCACCAGCAGATGGATTTATACCCAGCGGACAAACTGCATTCAACATGTAGTTTTTAATGGAACTACATCTACATGGAGGGAGATAAACATTGGGGTACCCCAAGGTATCCATGCAGATTTGGGCTGTTTGCCGGTAGAATTGTTTTTAAATGTGAGGGCTACTGTGCATTTAAAAAAAACAGAAGGATATTGAATTGGAATTCAACTGCATTCCCTTGTCTCATTGTGTGAATACATTCAATAATTAGGTTTTGTTAACCCAGTTTAAAGTGTTTTGTATTGTGTAAACCTAGACCGAGTATAAATTATAATCTGGATCACTGAGAATCTTGAAAGAGTAAATAAGGGGCAAGGAAATGCAACAGCAAAGAGCCAGGGATGAAAGGGTATTTTTGTGTTGGTTTATTTTATTTATTTATTTATCCATCAAATCTATATGGCCATCAGTCTCACAAGAAGAGACTTCTTTGTTTAGGTGCTGTGAAACTGGATCAGGCAGTGACTAGAATTTAGGCTGAAATCATCTTGCTTCAAAAATGGAAAAGCATCAGAAAAGGCAAACAAAATAAAGGAAAATAATATCTCTTCACTAATACTGATCAGCAAGAAGGAAGAAGAACCATCTTTTGGTAACTGATTTGCTTTGGTGTTATTGGCATCTTCAGTGGGAAATCAGAATGATGAAGCTTCTGCTGCAATTCTGGAGTGATAATAAAATTTTTTGAAGGCAAATATACATGTCCCAGGATAATGTTGCAAAATCCAATCTGGGTCAGTCATCAGGACCAGAAGTTTTATCTTCCAAGCTTTCAGACTCACGCTGGAGCCCATCTTCTCTCTAGCAGTGTTCTGTATGTGATATTTATAGTGCCTGTTGTATGTGGCTTTTTTGATGTTGATTGGGATATGTTTATGGCTGGCTTTTAAGATATTAGCTGTCATTTGTTTATGTTGCTCAGCCCTCGCCTTCTAAGTACTGGTGATAAATGAGCACTCTGACCGAAGTTTTTTTGATGAGAAGCGAAATGTTTTCAAGGAAAAACAAAATCCAGTTGCCTTTTGAAAAAGCACCTTTGAAATGGAGAAGAGAGAAAATCTGAACTCAATCTCTTCCACTAGTTTTATTTGGAGAGGAGATTTCAGGGATCAAAGGATAGAACACACTTTTATTGTGGTCCATCATGGCCTCTTAACAAACAGTACAGACTTAATTTTTTGTAGTGATTTAGGCTTTATGCTGTAAAAAGACACTGGGCTCCTTTAAAATGAGAAAAAATATTTCCTGCAACAGAGGCTTGAAAACATCACCAAAAAGTATAGAGAAACAGCATAAACTCTGGAGGAAAAATGAAAGAGAAGACACTATCTAAATGCTTTTTGTATATTTTTCCCTTTCTTTTAAAAGAAATTCGTTCATTACTGTATCGCATTTAAAAAGAACAATTTTAAATATTTATAAAATGTTGATTGTAACTGTCAATTATCAGTGGGTAGTGAATTTATATTATTGATCTAAGCATGTATAGGAAGGGCCACTTTGGTATAATAGTTAAGACATCAGGCTAGAAACTAGAAGGCAGCAAGTTCTAATCGTAACCACTGCAGAATAAACATGATGTCTTTCTGCAAATAAGCTATAAGACTCTCATACACGATCTTTCACATTAGAAAGACTAATAGGCACTTTATCCAAGATATGGCTCAATGAGCAAGAGGAGATTGTACTGGCATTGTTGCTGGTGATTAAGTGAATGTGTGTGTGTGTGTCTGCCTTTCAGGTATACAGGTACAACTCCTTCACCACCACCAGGTTCACACTATACATCTCCTTCAGAGAACATGTGGAACACAAGCGGCACCTACAACATGAACACAGGGATGGCCGTTGCTGGTACTGTATTTCTTGCTTCTCACTTCTGGGCTAAGATACTGTTTTACATCTACCTCTTGTTTATTTTGGGTCTAGGACATGAGCAATCAGGATATCAGTAGGATCCTTTGGCATCTTTCCATAAAGTAAAAGGATGGCTTTAAAGAGCTCAGTTCTGAAAGGATAGGCTCGATGTTTTTTAGGGTTCCTTGGCAAGAAGAATAATGCTGCTTAGGATATGGCAGCTTTTTCCTCTGGGTGAAGAATATAAGCTTGACACATGTATGTTCCATTGGCATTATCACCATTCCTGGAAGAGTCTTGATTATGTTATGATAATGGTTATGTAGTGTATCACATTTGTGTCATCTATTGAATACCCAGAGCAGAAGAAAAAACTAAGTTGTCTCTTACCAAGCACATGCATAAATTTGCTTTTCTCATCATTTTTCCTCCTTCAGTTCCCAATCAACATTGACTGCTAGTCTTATTCTCCTGACTGGGAAATTTGAGTCTAAAGAGTCCTTGTCCACTGATGATGTCAGCCACATCTGTCTGCCATGCTTCTCTATATTAGAATAAAATGTTGTGTATTCACTTATTTTACTGCCTCGCATCCATATACCTAGATAGAAAAGACTTTAGATTGGGCAGGAATAAACATCCCTTTTAAGTGTGGCTTAGAGAGTGTGGTGCTGTATCTGTACCTGCCTAAAGAGACTTCTATGTCTGTAAGTGCTTTTTAAGTGTCTAAGAGTTTTTTCTCACCCCAAAAGGGTTGGACAGAGTCCTTGAAGGTCTGTGTCTTGAATAGCGCCTTGCTCACATTTGACTCTATTCCTTTCTAATGTGCTACAGGAATGCCCACAGCCTATGACCTCAGCAGTGTGATTGTGGGTGGCACTAATGTTGGTCACAACAACCTTATTCCTCTAGGTGAGTTTATTTGCATTGTACAGTATATTCTGGCTTAAAGGGGGAGTCCTAGAAAGCAATCTTGGTAGCACACCTGAGGAGCCCAGATCATCAGCATGACCTCGGTATTGAGTCTTTGGGGCGTTATACACGGTTCAATACTTATAGGCAAGCCCTTTGGGAAGCTAATATATCCTGCTTCATCTAAGTACTCTCCTCTGAATGCCTGGTAGGGTATATGGATCCTCGGCCACAGAATTACCTTTCTATTTTTTGACCTTGTGTTGTGCCTCTGTTTTACCCCCTTGTGAGAAAAATGTACTCTACTGCCTTAGAATTCAACATGAATTTAAGTTCAGAGTGGTGTTATTTTATAATTTTCTGATTCAGAAAAATAAGTTTTAAAATGGTTTAGTTTTAAATAATTACAGTATAATTGAACAAAAGTGCCTGCAACATGTTTCATTGCGAAAGTATCTGCTATTTGCATTGACAATTGAAAGTTTATATAATAGATAAAGCTTTTATGGCCAGAAGCCAGCAAATGTATTGAGAGTAATTCTCATTACCCCTGATTTTTCTTCTTGTGATCTGTTTTTTTTAAATCTGGGTATCTACTGACTTCCCTGAATAGAATACAACTTTTATTATGGCACCTACCAGAATTATAGATAGAAACAAAAATAAGTTAAAACAAAACAGGATGAAAAACAATGCAATTGGTTTCATCAGCAGGCAGTCAAAATCTCCCCAATTTTACAAGCAATATAACCTGATTTTCCTGATGGGTAATGATGCCCTCATGAAAACAGGGTCTGCAGAAAAAGCTTGTCAAGTATGGGATCCCCATATTTAAATACCTACAGAAATTGTGTTTTCATCTACATGAATGGTATAGATTAGGCAAGATCACTCAGTGATTTAATAGAAAGCCAAATAACTCTCAATTCTTCTTAGTGGCCCTTGTTAGAATAGACTGTTTCCTCTACTGGATATCAGAGTATAATAGCTTATGCAAATCTAATAAAACATAAACATTGTATTTGTGATCAGAATGAAAAGTAGCAAACCAGGATGGTTTCCTTGCAGAAAGGATATCTCAGAACTTTCCAGGCACCTAATACACTTAAGTTTTGGTAATGTTACTATCTCTTGAGAAGTGAAACTCCAACATAACCTTTAGGTTAAAAGCAGTTATACAAGGGATAGGTGGACATTATACCACCTTGAACTTAAAATGACTTTGTAGAAAGAACTTATTCCTATCCTTTTGAGTATTGACTTTATTAATGAACCTTGTCAGCAAAGTGGGTTTGAATCACATTCCCCCATTTCCATCTGTTCTGAGGACTTTTTAGTAGAAATGAGAATCAAAGTCATGGCACTTTGTAGTGTAAATGAATCCAGTGTGCCTATTCTTCTGGTATTTGTGATAAGTTGTTTCTGGTGCTCAAAACTAAGTTATTAGATAGAACATTAAAACATGCTGCAGAATTTTGCCAAGAGGGTGGGAAGAAATAACATACTGTGGGGGGATTATATCCTTGCAAATTCATTCAGCTATAGCCAAGAAAAAGCTGAATTTCAAGCCGTTCCTTAAGGCATGGGAAGTTAGATAAAAGATTAATTCTGTAGGTACCAGTTTTAGAATCCACATGAATCATTGTATAATAACAAAAAAGATTCTTCTGTGTTTTCAAAGACAATAAGAAATAGTGCCTAACAAGTGCCCACAGGTCATTTTGCATGTACCACAGTTTGAAGAGGACTGAATCTCTTCATCTGCTTGCCAATTAATTTTTAATTTGGGAAAAAACTCCCAAATATCTGCCAGGCATATTCAGGCCCAAGGTATTCTGGATGAGAAAGATTTAGGGTTGTTGGTTACAGGATGGAAACCTAAAAAGATTTGCACATCTCAAACTTGCTGATATAAGCTTTGTATCAGATGAAATGTTTTTTTAAAGGAAACTATATTTGAGCTGATTTCCCAAGAGATACCTATTGTTGATTGTTAGATCATCCTCACAGCCACTTATAGTGTTCTATTAAAGAATTAGGAACAAATTATAACTACTTTTAGGGTCAGAACAAGTAAAAATGCTATATTCTGAAACACCCTTGGGATAGGACACTCCAGCTCCCCAACCCTCCAAATTAAATCTACTTCTCCCCGCATAATTTTATCAAGACTGTGGTTTCTTTGTCACAGTAAGTTATAATATTGCCAAGCTGGAAAAGTTGTGTATCCAGAGAGGCTAGGGAGAGATTTTAGATTTCTAAAATTTAACATTCCAGTTGCCCCCTCCCTTGTAATTTGTGAGAAATGGCTTGTGTTTGACCTTCACGTAAATGCAGGAGAAAGGATTGTCAATTCCCAACCTCCATTCTCATTTATGATGACTCACCAAGTTGTTAATCAGATGCAGTGTAAGAGATTAGACCTTTTGCACGCACTGGCCTGGTTTTGGACTAGAGATGGGTGAGGCATCTGTAATGTGTGTACTTGCAGATGATGGAAACATGTTAAAGGTGAAGTAGCCCCATGTAGAGATTAGGCCTGTCTGAGTATTTTTCTTTTTTCCCAAGCAGCCAACACTGGGATTGTCAATCACACCCATTCCCGGATGGGATCCATCATGAGCACAGGGATTGTCCAAGGTAAACCTGCCCTTGGGCTTCTTTGGAACTGAGGGGAAATTGGCCCTGTGTGCTCTCTTCTCCTCTGTAGGATTTTGAACACTTTGGCTGAGAAAAGTAGCAGGCAGCATGTTGGGTTTGAGAAGGGGCAAATACTTTTATAGTACATTTTGAAACTGACATTATCCCTGAAATTGAAACTAAGCTAGATAAAATTCTAGATGGAAGAAAATTCTACTAGCTCATTTTGGCATCAGATCAGTTTGCATCAAGGCAAGTTTGGGGGCACTGTGGTTAATGACTGGTTTATTCTGGCTTGAGTTTTCAGGGGCAAGAGCCTGCTATCTTTGGTGCGTAATGTGGACTGGAATTGAGCAGTTGAACCCATTGGCATTTTGTCAGTCCTGTCCATGCAAAAAAGGCAGCAAACTCTTCCTTATAGATGAAGCTCTAAGACAGCATCTCTCCTCTTTTCTATTTCTTATCCCCACTCTCCCATGGCATTAAAACTACTTTTCCAGCTCTATTACAAAATGTGAGATTTTGATTTTAAATTGAAAGTTGCTAGATCAGGAATGGATCTGGATCCACTTTTAAAAAATAGGTGGCTAGTTGTGCTTAGACTTTTTTTGCTGAAAACTAAGATTCCTTCTGCTATATCCAACTGAATGCTTTTCTCTCCTGCTACAGGCTCGACTAGTGGCCAGAGTGGAGGAACTTCAACTGCTCATTACCCGGTCAACAGTCAATTCACTATGGGGGGACCAGCTATTTCTATGGCATCCCCCATGTCTATCACCACCAACACAATGCATTATGGGAGCTAAGAAACCCTCAACCCTGAACTGACAGCATCAGGAAACCAAATGGAGAAAAAGTTCCACCTCCCTGCCCACTGTATCTCACCAGTTGGCAGTCAATTATCTGGATCTCTTCTGCCCTCCAGTAGGTTACCCAGAGATGGTCCAATCCTTGTACAATAGAAGACAAAAACCCACTGGCTTAATAGTGAACTTGCATACGTTTTTCATGAAATGTTGGAAACTTCAACTTGCTCAACCATGACTGAGTTCCTGTGCTTACTGTGTCTTACAACCAATCATGTCAATAATAGTATCGTTCCTCAGTCTGCCATGACTGATTGGCATTAGGCACAGGCTGTAGATCTGAACTGCCATAGGGCCTCTAAAATGCTCTAGGCAGCCCACCAACAACAGAAACTTGATCATTTATTGCTACACTCCCAGTATTTTAAATGAAGGGGCTGCAGCTGGCTGTAGAACGGGCACAGGTAAGAATCCAGGAGCATATCTATCTCAATTTCTTAGGTATCCCAGCTCTGGGCTAGTGTTTGTTGCATTATTAAGACTTAGGAGGAATATCTCCTGGGAAAGACAACCCATCAGCTTCCTGGTTTTCAGAAAAGCTCCAGCATCTTACTGCTGTAAGTCTTGGGCCATGTGAAAAACATCTGAGTTGAAAGAAGACTGTTTTATATGCCACAAGCATCTTATCAGCAGGTCTGATGATTGCCTGTCTCTTGGGAATATTGATGTAGCATCAAAGGGTTAAAACATTTAAAACACAAATGTACCAAAAATATTGTTGCTGGCTGAATATGGTTTGTGTATCAATTTCCTGTTGCTCATTTTAAACCTAATCCCATTTTCTAGTCTGTTTTTAAGGTGTGACAGCACCTATGATTAGTTCCTCCCTTCTGGGCAGAAGTGGATGCCAAGTGGTTTAGTATGTAACTTGTCTGCTTCCCACAGTAACCACCAGGAGACTCTAAATAGATTGGCAACTGTTATGGGGTCCCTTTGTAGTACTTTTATGTGTAATTTGTAACCCATTCTTTTTTCCTTCTGAAGAGCCTCAAGCCAATGTTTCTGAAAGGACTTGACAAGCAACTATTTTATGGAGGAGAAAAGTGGTTTACTTAAGGCAATGTTCTTGGGGTCCCAATAGTGGCTGAATTGGGGGGAGGGGTGGGACCATTCTGGAGAACCTTCATAGTGACTGGATTGTGGATCTATAAAGCCAGTTGTTGGGTCTGGCTGATCAATGATTTTGTGACTATTGAATAAAACTGGGAGGGTTTTGAAGATCTGTTTGTAGTGGCTGGTTTCCCAATCCCAGGGTTAGATGAAACAGCTTGAAATTTATTTGTTTTCACATATTCACTGGACAAACCTGTTTTGAAGTGCAGTTGAAAGAAGTGCCTTCCTACAAGAAATGTTCCTCAAATGATTTGACTTTCCTTACATTGCTAAAGCGTTCCCCGATTCTCTCTATTATCACAGTTAAGGAAAGTTATTATTAACTTGCTCCCTGTTAGGTTTCTTATGGCTACCTTTGACATGAACACAAGTAACTCTATACAACAGAAGTACTGGCTTTTTAACAGACATCCCTGCAAAGATCTGCTCTATATTAATATAGGAAGTTAAGAAAAAGCTAATGTATTTTCCAGAGATGATAGTTTAATTCAAATTAGCCTTGCATGCCAAAGAAATTAAATGGTTAAATTAGTTTTAAGTGATATTTTGGCTTGTAAGAGAACTTCACTCGCAACGTAATTATTTGCTAAACCCACAGGAATGCACCCATTTAGTTAAAATTTCCTGGTTTTTTCTCTCTCTTGCAATTGACCTAGGATTTAGCTGAAATAGATTTAAGAGACAAAGTCTTCATGCAGTCCATCTCTTCTGTCCTATTACAACAGGCCACCCTGTTACAGCAGAGCAAATGGCAGCTGCATCAACACAGCAGCTCTGAATACTTAGAATTGCTAGGCCTCACAAGTGGCTTCTAGTGTAAGCTGCTTCCTAAATCAGGCCAACTGCTAGTGTGTTCTGGCTGGCAGCAACAAAACAATGAATTTTGAAATGGTGTGACTTTGCTCGGGCCACTGGCAGGATCCTCTTTGAAGTCAGTGTTTTTATGTCTCTTGAATAGGGTGTCTTGAGTGTCTCTTCCCTGATACTGGATATTCAAGATCGATGTCTGTAAAGGAAGCAATTCAATAGAACTAATATTGGGGAGAAACACAAAGGTCAAACCTTCCCAACAGTGTTGTGATTCTGCATTTCCATTAATATGGATGAGTAAGGGGATAGTAATATTTTAATTAAAATACCTGCATATTTTTCAAAGTCTAATGCAGGATATTATCAGATTCCTTTTCCTTCTGCTGCAGTAAATGAGGGTGTATGCTTCTGTTGAGTTGTGGTTGTATAAGCAACAGGAGTAGGAGATGTGATGCTTGGTTTCTGAAAGAAATAGAGCTTCAAAAAGACAAGATCAAATTGGTTGAAGCAGGAATCAAATAGGACTCTCTGTCCCACGTCCTCCCACCAGAAACCTGGATTTTATCATAATGACTGTCCTTTCCCAATTTCTTAAAATGTTCAAAGGAGCAAACAGAGCAGGTTTTTTATTCCAAACCCTGGCTTCACAGATACTATTCTACTACTATTCTTCTCTTCCCCCCCCCCAAATCATCTTACCCTTCAGGATAGTCTGATGAGTAACAGTGTTCAAAGATGTTCAGTGCTCTGACATCTATGCTTTACAATTTGCAAACACACACACACATACACACACAACCTCACACTTTGAAAGCATTTAACCTTTATTTTAGACATGAAGACATGCATTACATATATTGCATTTGGCCAATTGACTGAATCTTAAGGGCGATTATACAGAAAAAAAGTATATACCAGTGATGTGTTCCGTCCAGTACACCCAGGTACGGGCATACCAGTGGCTGCCACCATACCAGTGCTTTGGAGGGCCCACCTGCCGGTCCTCATTCCTTACCAGTATTTAAGTCAACCGGGCCATTTGCGCACACATGCGCAGCGTACAGCACCTGCGCAAACCTCCACCAAGCAGCTGGAGCGTCGCAGGGTGGTGGGTGCCCATGGTGCCCACAGTGTACCAGTTACGATGGGATCCGGAACCCACCACTGGTATATACCCTAACTGAAACACATACAAATCAAACTCTTTCATAAAATATGTTAATTTAGGCTCAAAAAACAAAAACCTAAACATGCTTATTCTCCAATTGTCTGTTTCTCTCAGCAACTGAAATACATTAGTGCAACAGAAGATACATACCTTGCATCCAATAGCTAGGAGAATATGAAGAGAAACAATAATGGCCATTACAGCACAAGCAGCTGGCTTGCTATCTGAACGGATAACTGGCCAAAAGGTAAGGACCAGAACTGAGCCTGACAACCCTATCGCAAGTATGATCAGGAGCCACTGCAGCCATGGGATCGGGATTAACCACAGAACCTATTAAGAAAGATGACAGTGAATCAGTCTGTCAAAATTTTTAAGGTCAGCTTGAAGAAGAATTCATCTTCCCCAAAAAGTGGCAATTCCTTGCAAGAATATATTCTACAAAGATTGAATGATAAATCTGCCAAATGTCTGACAACTTACCGCAGTAGGAATGTACACAAACAGTGAGTAGCCATAAATGCACACCATTTCCAGGAAAGAATACACATCAGTGGTGACATGGGCTCCCTTTCGCCACTGTAGATAGCCCCACAGACCTAAGGGTACCAGCCAAGCATAGCAGTAGATAACTATGCTTGCAATTGTCACTGCGCAAGAAGAAAACTGTATTAAATGCACCATTCCCTAGCAAGAACTGAAATTGAAACATCTAGAAAGAGAAGGGAATGGGAATTCATAGAATAAACTAATTATGTTTTGTAATAGTCTGTAAAGTAGCCCTTTCTTATAATTTTGATTCTCCCCCTTTACCCCCCCTCTCCCCCAAATAATTCAAGATGGCAAACGTGCCTAATATTCCTGCCTCCTATTTTTCCCGCACAGCCCTGTGAGGAATAATGACTGGCCCAAAGTCATTTCATGCCTAAGGCAAACTCAATCTTTTGGTTTCTGGGCAAACTCTTTCTCAGTACTGATAAGTAAACAATACATACGTTCGTTCCAATTCTAAAGGGATTAAATAAAAGTTGGAAGCCCAGATTGATATATTTTTAATAATGCTTTTCATTTGCACATTTTAACTACAAGACAATGAGAAAGTTCTTTACTTCTCATAGCCAAACAGAAATTCATCTATATGTATGAATCAGGAGCCATAGTGGTGCAGTGGTTATAATTCCATATTGTAGGCTAACTGCCCACTGCCAGGAGTTTGATCCTGACCAGCTCAAGGTTAACTCAGCCTTCCAGGTAGGTAAAATGAGGACCCAGATTGTTGAGAGCAATATGCTGACATTGTAAACTGCTCAGAGAGTGCTATAAAACACTGTGGAGTCTAACTGCTATTTCTGTGTATCAAAATACCTAGCAGGCAACAAAAATAATATTTTTCCACATATTTATTTTACCTATTCTTGATATGGCTACACTCCTACCAACCAGAATCACTTCACAGTAAGATGGGTGGCATATAAATGTATGTGTTTCTGTATATAAATTATACACAGAAAAATGATTAGCAGTATAATTTAAAAAATAATATACTAGCCTCAGAACTGAAGTTCTAGGATGTACTTTCATATCAAAATCTCACCTTTGTGGAATTGAGGGCTGTAGTGGAAGGAGGAGCTCCCTCTTTTCTCCAGGAAGTTAGATAAATTACCGCTGATGGCTAATGTGAATACCAATGTGGCACAGATCCAGAAAGGTCCTATGAGGGGCAAAAGAACCAACATCAAAAAAAGAACAAAAGTATAAGGAGTCTCCTAAGGAGTAGGTGTCTCAGCAGAGAGTGCAATGGAAACAAGAAAACCATTTATAATACAACAAAACAGAACTGGGTATCAGTAGATTTTGTCACCTTCCTTCATTTTATGGAAAATAGGGTTTGAGGACAGGTAGGCTCAACAGCACTAAAGCTACATTTCCATTATCAGGGATAAGGAAAATGGCACTTTAGCAAAAATTTGAAACCTAGCAGCACTTTAACAATGGGGCATGTATCTCAGCACAGAATTTGAGATATTGTGGGAAATGGAACCATCCTTGAAATAAAAAAAAAGTAACCATAGTGGTTTGAAATAAAAAAAAGTAACCACCGTACTATATCTTCTTGTGACTGCAAAAATGCTGCATGGCCTTTCCCAACTCTGCTATAAAGGGCTGAAAACCAAGGACTGCAATACGCCGTGTGTGCATTTGACAGACAGAATAAATGGAAAATTAGCAAAATGTGAGGCTTTCTGCAGATTTCTTGCATCTGTGAAGGTAAAACTATCTTTGTTCTAGTGGTCTTACAGTTTCTGGCCTGTGACTCATCAACTACAGGTAGTTTTGGACTCACAACCAGTTGTTTTAACAACCATTTGGGGCTATAGTGGCCTCAGAAAGGGTGGACTGTAAAACACTTGTCGGAAAATGTGTTGCTCTTCCCCATGGTCACATGACCACTTTTGGGATGTTGCCAATTGACTCGCATTTGCAACCAGTTGCAGCATCCTATGGTCGCATGATTGCAATTTGCAATGATTTTTGTTGGGTTTTTGACAAGATACCTATTCACAAGAGTGAATTTGCTTAATGAGCAAGTGATTGGATTAACAACTGCTTTAATAATGGTAAAAAGTTCAGGTCCGGTCATGTGGATGCCTCAATTTATGACCAAAACAACTCAACTATGATCCCAGTTATGGTCGTAAGTCAAGGCCTGATTGTATTGCAAGTAGATGATCCTTAAGGGATGGACTCTAAGCCTCACTTTGTCATTTATTTAGCAAAGACTTCTGTGGACTATTCTTTTAAAAAGGGATCTTGCTCTTTACCCATCAAATTTATGAGCTGATCCCCAAATCAGAGGCCTGGATCAGTCTGAACATTGACTGACCGTTCGTGGCAGGAAAAATAGATTACCTTATCTATTCAGTATTGTTTAGACTGGTCTTGAAGGTGAGTTTAGCACTCTGTTAGAATAGCACTAAACACTGGAGGCTTTTAAGAAAAAAATGGACACCATTTATCTGAAATGTTATAGGGTATCCTGTCTGAACAGTGGGTTGGACTAGAAGACTTCCAAGGTCCCTTCCAACTCAGTCATTTGGTAACCAAATAAAGGAGACTATATTATTGA